TCGGATACCTTAAGGCATTTCACTGAGATGTCTATACTTGAAAATTTCCTTCGTAAGTTAAACTTTTATTGCAAAAGAAGTTAAACAACATTTATTTTTTCAATTCAAAGGCGTTGAAATCTAAACTAGAGTAAACTAACACATTTTTTTAAAAAAAATTTTCCTAATTCGAATTCAACAGCAAAATATATATTATGTTTTCTCTACGTGAATTATATTGTAATATTCACGTATCGCTAACAATAAAAAAAAATTCTATTAATTAATTTTCTTAAATCCAAAAAAAAAAAAATAAATAAATAAACGAATTTACCCCAGCATTCTTTTCTTAATTTATAATGAGTTGCATGGTATTTCACATTCTTTAAAAAATCCTTCTAAAGTTCATTCTAAGAGTAAAATAATTAAAAGTAAAGAAACTTTTTTTAAAAACAAGCTTTTATTTAAATGCTCTAAAAAGAATGTATCGATAGATTAACACGAAAAAAAATTCATACGAAACGATTTAGAAATCATTTTCATAAAAACGCATCAATTTTGACACATTTTAGAACAACTCGTAAAAAATAGAAAATATCATTATTTTTCAAAAATAATTATACCGTATAGTGGCGAAATAAATCATCTTACCGATTATGTAATTATTTTTTGTCTTAGTTCGATAGAAAGAATAAGATGGTTTTTTTTTAAAAAAAAGGTCGAAAAATCGGAACTTCTTTAAGCTCAATCCGATAATCTGCTCGGCTAAATAAAAAGCTAACAGGGGGTAAAAGGTTTTTTTAATTAATATCTTTCTAACTACTTGCGATATCGGAATATAAATGGTCAAAACATGCATTGTCATCCAAACTAAACGTGTATACAAAATTTCAGTTCAATCGGTTGTAGACATCAGCTTCAAAATTGAGTTGCAAGATTCCACCCGAACAAATTACATTGCAAGTTAAATAAAAAGCTTGTAAAATTAACACACCACTGGAACGAAATATACAGGGTGATTCGCTACCAGACCGACAGACTTGCAGGATGTGCAGCAGCTACAGAGAAAGAACAGAAGCAGAGAAAAAGAACAGAAACAGCAACGCATTAACGGGGCAGAAAACATTTTATTGAAGGATAATACAACAACAGGTGCTCGAAATTATGGGCAGAAAACGTCTAGAAGGCTTGACAGTGGCTCTTCATGGAATTCCTTACGTTTTGGAAGATCCCTGGCATATCACCTATCCCCTCGGCACAGCTACAGATATTCGAGCGATGAG